ATCCTTGTGCCTTTTTATTTTAGAAACATACCAGTCACACTCCCAGAAGCAGATAAGTTGGCCACCTGTGAGGTAAACAAAACTTGGACCTCCAGCCTGATCCTGGGCCTATAAAAATAGACAACTGGCAGTTGTTACAGAGCAACCGCTTTCCCAGAACAGCTACCTCAAAAATAGGACAATTTTGGGAAAAGCTGAACAGTGCAGCCTAGAGGCAGGGGATTTCAAACTCAAGAGAATGCTGAGCATTGCATTGGCTTCATTTACAGATAGTAATGTTAAGGCTTATCCTCATTTTTGCCATTTATTCGTCATAACTCTATGTTTTTCTACAGAAAGCAGAAGCTGAAGTTATAAAATAGTCTCAAAAAATTGTCCTTTTAAAAAAATGGCTGCCTTCTTCCATTATTCTCAAAGGCATTGAAGCCACAGGCTGTTCTTAATTAAGAGGACCATCACCTCCATTCATTGGTTCCTCATAGGCTCCGTCTACACTGCAGGCTTTTTGCACAAGAACAGTTGTTCTTGCGCAAAAACTTGCTGGGTGTCTACACTACACGCACGTTCTTGCACAAGTAAATTTACAGTACAGCGTCGGAAAAAAGGGCTTCTTCCGGAAGAGTTATTCTTCTCCCCATGAGGAATAAGCCCTCTTGTGTAAGAGCTCTTCCACAAGAAGGCAGTGTAGACAGGCAACATGATTTTCTTGCGCAAGAAACCCCTATGGCTAAAATGGCCATCAGAGCTTTCTTGTGCAAAAAAGCGTCCACACTGCCATGGACACTCTTGCGCAAAACAGTTCTTGCGCAAGAAGCCTGCAGTGTAGATGTAGCCATAGCGTTTTCCTCCACCTTCTGTCACCACAAAGGACCACTGTCTTCCCTGAGGGCAGCTTGATTTCAGTCTCATAGGAGGAAAGATGACACCTCTACTGAGGGCAGCCTATAGTCTCAGTCCCACTGAGAACAACAAGAGACAGTGGCTATTATGAAAAAGGACAATTTCTCCATGAGCTTTTATGAAGATTTTACTTTTTTAGCCTGTGATGAAGAATAACCTTCAGTTATTAAGTCTAACAGCAAAAAATTACCATTAATTTTAAAAAATCAAACAATTCTTCAAATATAGCCTAAGATTTCTGTGGGTTTTATTTAAAAGGAAAGTTTAACAATTCTGCAGTATTGTATTGCAAAGATCATTCCAGACCAATTCAAAGTGTGGCTTAGAGTGCAAAATTTCTTAGAGGACCCATTTAAAATCAGTTTTAACGTATAAATGAATAGATTTGACTGGACATTCTCAGGAAACTCAGTTTAAACTCAAAAGAGTAGGTACTGTATACATGGGGAGAATAATCTGTATTTTTTTATCTATTACAAAAAGACTGAATCCCACTTCAAGTGCAAAACTCAGTTCACCCTTTCATATGGAGCTGCAACTTGTGCCTTCATAATAATAATAAATCTTTCCTTTCCCCAGAAGCAGAGGATTGTAACCCCTCTAGTTCCAGTCAGCAACCATATAGATTCAACTCCCAAACCTAGGGTTTGGGTCCTAGGCCACTGGCTCCCTCACTCTGCTCCCTGGGCTTGAGTCCCAGCTACTGGTTCAGCTCCCCACTCTTGGTCTCATGCTCAGGTCTCTGCTTCTTGGCCACTGGTCCTTTGCCGGGGACCCAGTCCCCATTTGCAGGATTCTGCTCCCAAAGTCCTAGCTGCCAGCCCCATAGTCAAGGCTCCGCTACTGATCCCACACACAGGACCCCATACCCACTCCCAGCCTTTGCCCCCTTGTCCCTGCTGGGACCACCCCCTGGGGAGTGGAGAGAGAGAGGCGGCGGGGGGGAGGGGGGGCAGTTTTCAGCATCCCACTATTCAAGGGTTCCAGTGCCACTGACAGGCCCACATCTGACACATTCAACTTCCCCCATATTTTGTTTGGCAAGTCTTGCAGAGTGACCCTAACTTTATCATCCTTTGGACAGCAATGCGGACTCGTTGGCAAGTCTTGCAGAGTGACCCTAACTTTATCATCCTTTGGACAGCAACACGGACTCAAGTGCCAGCAAAGCCCTCACACCCACAGAAAGGCCCTCTCTGGCACACACCCTAATGCCCAAAGCCTTTCAGCCACCGTAGGGCTCTCCCCAGCCCTAGGCAACTCTCAGCACTTCAGGCAGCAGAAGCCTTGCAACAGGGAGGCCCCACTGACACTGGGCGGGGCCAGCTGCCTCTGCCACTCACCTAACCCCATTGTGAGGTGACAGTTGGGGTGAGGCCAGATGGGGCGGGGCATAGACAGGCAGGCCTTATAGGGACCAGCAGAGGGCCTCTCTGTGGCTGCCAGTGTGTAGGCTGCTCCAGCAGGCCTCAGTCTATGTCTCTCTTCTCCTTGCTCACTAATCTGTCTCCCCCCAAAATGGCTGGGCTGCAGCTCCACCTCAGCCCACTGCTGGAGCCCCTTGGCTTTCTGAGGGCCCTTGAGTGGGTGAGTCTGGGAGGGAGGCGTATGTATGGGAGGGGGATTGTTTTCTTTTAGAGCAGTGCAAGAGGAAGGGAGGGAAAGGCTGAGAGCCCTCCCTCAGGGCTGCGAGTTCCCCTTGCAGACTTCTAGCACCCCTGTTGGGCAGGGCTTGTAGGGGGGCAAGAGTCCCTTCTATGGGGCAGGGATGTTGATGAGGCCCAGTTCTTGCTGGTATAGGCTTGGCCATGGCTTGGTTGGTGCGGGCTCCCCAGACTCTCCAAAATGGCAGGGCCTCAGAACTAGTTAACTCTATTATTAGCCCACTAAAAGCCTTTTTGACACAGTCATTTCTTAGCTGGTGTTCATGCCGAGCTGTGCCTGTCTTGCTTGTTTAAAGAGACGCCAGTATAATTCTGCAGTTGTTTTGTGTGGGAGGACTGTCTGTGTGGGGGTCTTCCTGTTGGTTGGGGGATTCTTGGTGAGAGTATGTCAGTTGTGGTGAGGATGGGGAAACAAGAATTATGGACCGAACTCTATGTAGAAACTCTGCTTCCTGTCAGCTATGGGCTTGTCTTTTTGTTGTTGTTTTTGGGCAAGGAAGGTGGAGAATGTTAATAATATTCTAAGCCCAAGGTAGCTTCCACTGACTTGAAATTGGACTTGTAGGGGAGAGAGGGCTGGCATCTCTGAAGCAGGCAGGCCCTGTTCTCTGGGTAACTTCCCACATGTTTTGCTATTTCACAAACACAAATTGACTAATGCAGCAAAAGGTAAAATAATACCCTATTTTAAAAGCAGACCTTTCTAGTTGTTACAAATACCTTGGATCAGTGAAGCTAAAATTAAACTTAAAGCTAGTGAGTGCAAAAAGTAAAATAAGGACTACTAGTTTTCATTTTGGGATTATTTGGATTTAAGCATTCCTCTGGAGTCTAAAGCACCTCTCTTTGAAATGAAAATAAAGTCACTCTAGTGACACTTCATGGCACTACTTGTAGAAAAATATTGTAGTGATAACAATGCTTGTTTGAACTAGAATTTAGCTGATGGAGCACTAATATACTACATCTTGTTTGGGATTATTGAAATCATTTAATGCAAATATTGTGTATAAATGGTGTCTTCCTCGCATTATTAACTGTACTGTATTTCATGTAGTCTGAGAGTACTAATATAGTGTTTCAATTTCCATAGATTTTTTCCATCTTTGTGTTTGCCACCTGTGGAGGTTATAAAGGTACAACTACAATTTTAGTTTCTTGTAAAGGTCTTGTGAACAAAACAGTTACAGCTGACTTTGGTTATCCATTCAGGTGAGCCTATTCTTTTATTTCCTTACTGTCATCAGTGTCACCACTGCCCACTAATTTTATTGGGTTCACTTGTTTCCTCCATAACATAATAGGTTTCCTCCATAACATAGTGGGTATCTAACGCTTTAAAAAGCATATCTTATGCTGATTCAAACATCCTGCAGTGTATAGTCTCTTGTTGTGAAATATGAGAACTAACTCCTGAAAGCACATTTATCTCCATCTCTCAGCAGATTATGTGGAGGGGACAAAAGATATTGCCAAATTGATATGTGCATCTTAATGATTGTCATGAGCTGAAAGCATGTACTGTAGTGATGCATGACTCACCACTATCTCTAGAACTTAAATTTCCCTTTGTGTTGTCTTGAGCACTGAGATGGAATTATTGCTGATCCTTTAAGCAGAATATGAAGAGGAGTCTTAAAAAAAAAAAAAACCTTTAACAGATGTTTTCTGTTTTATCTATTGTAATTCCATTGAGGGATCCGATTTTTAGACACTTTTCCTTTTAGGGATAACATTTTGATTAAATAATGAATGGGAAAGCTCACCTAGCATTATTGCAATCATCTGCTGTTGCACATATGAATATAGTCAATTAAGCTTAGTAGCTGTCCATCACAAACTGCAGCAAAAGCAGAACATTCCTCCATCCTAGGAGATGGAGCCCAAAAAAAAAAAAAATTGGAATCCCAGCCAAATATATACAGGAAGGATAGGAGAAAAAGAAGAGTGAAGCTTCCTCTTCTATCCCAGGATCCAGAAGGGATCCTAATAAACATAGGCCTTAATCCTGTAAACTACTCCTCAGATATTGAGGGCTGGAGCTTTAGCAATTGCTGCTGACTAGCGAAGGCTAGTATAAAAGATGCAGGATTCCCTTCCTCAAATCAAGGCCCAGAGGTGTCCTCCCATGGAGGGGTGGGGCCACATCTGTAGTGCTGTCCCAGGAGGGCTGAGTTGAATTGCTCAGCTAAACTGTTAGGAGCTCAATGTTTGTATTTACCTACAGCTGATGATGTAGCCCTATGGCTGGCAAGCTCTTATCTAGCTGTCTTACATTTACCAGCCTAATCTGATTCAAGTACAATTAAATTAGTCTTGTTTCTAAATCAGAGTGGTTTAAACCTCCGTTTCTTAGGTTCTGTGTCAGTCTTAATTTGTAACTTGTATTAAATAGTGTTGTATATCTTGCAGCACAATCTAAGCCTTTAAGGTGTGTGGGAGGTATATAAAGAGAATATTATGCAACTTAAGTTAGATTAATAAATTTACTACCAAAGAATATTTTATGCAGTGGGAGTATTGATGGCATTGTTCTCATTAAATGCTAAGATACTGAAGTTTCCATTTGTGCAGCTAAGTCTTGCTATGAAAAATCTACTTTTTTTTTTCCTCCCCCTCCCACAGGTTGAACACAGTTGTATTTAGTGCACCAGATCCAACACGATGCAGTGGCACTTGGACTGACTTTCACCTTGTGGGCAACTTCTCCTCTTCTGCACAGTTCTTTGTTACTTTTGCAGTCTTGGTATTCCTTTATTGTATTGCTGCTATTGTAGTATATGTTGGGTATATGCACCTGTATCGGAACACTGGCAAAATCCCATTGATTGTAAGTAACACTAAGCTATTTTAGTCTTTGTTTTAAAACCACCAAAAGAAAAAGAATTCTGCTCAGCACAGGCATGTTTAAGTAACCATAAAACTTAAATTGTCACACTGTAATACAAACTGGAATGGTTTAAAATCACTTGGGTTTATTAAACATCACTGATTTAAAAAAAATTAAGTTGAAAACTGTTGCCATTCCAACTTTAGATTAAATCTAAACAAACTAAATTTATAAATGGTATGGCACTTTTAACATGCCATTTACTAGAATGAGTTCTTTAAGGAAAATAAAAATGAAGTTTGTTATTGAAAACAATAAGGAAAATTTTAAAAAATTAAGGCACAGATCCTGCAAATCCTTTAACTGGTGTGTAACTTTACTCCTATGAATTCCATTGACTATAACATGACTGCTCATGTTAAAAGCAAAGTGCATGTAAAAGTGTGAAATTTAGCTCCTTGATACTGCTATCTTAACTTTTTGTCGTTAAAATATTACTGCAAAATTGCCTTAGTGGCAGCAATAAAATTAATTTCAATAATTAAATTAATTTGATATGCAAAAATAGGAGGCTAACGTTTGGCATATGGTGTGAGGTTTTGGGGGGGAGGTAGGGTGGCTAGGAGGTAACAGGTGCAGTAAAACAAGACACCCAAGTAACTTAGCACAAGTCACATTATACTCCTTTGACTTCAATCTGTAAAATGGACAGATTGGTCAAAATACTTCAGATTTCTTGACTTGTGGCAGCTCAGTATATTGAAAGGAGGAACTGTCTGCAGACCAAATTTATTGCTTATCAGTCTTGTTTCCGTATCACAGTAAGGACATCAGTGTGGCCCTGGACTTGCTTCAGTACAGATAAGCACTTGACATGTGAAAGTTCTTAGTAGGAAAACTTCTAACTTGAAATTGTAGGAACTGCCAGACAAAGTGGAAGTTCTTAACTTATCAGCTTTTCTGTAGGCTTTTTTTGTGTGTGTGACCTTAGGCAAATCACTTAGTACTTCTTTCTGCTTCACGGGAACTTTTGTGGTGATAATAACTAATATATGGACACTTCTCTGAATAGTTCAGTGTCTACATATTGGATGAGTAAAAACTGCAGCACTTCAAACAGCAGAATGACATTTTTCAGCTCTGTGTTCCAAGAAAGTTGATGGTAAATCATCAGAACAGAATTCTCAAGCACAATGTGATGCTCCTGAATCTGTGCCAATTCTGAGTAGGGGGTGAACATTTAGGATAATTTATCACACTGAACTATACGTAACAGTATTCCTGAGTTTTAAAGAGCTACCTTTTTGGGGGTGTAGGCCTTAGAATGAGTCCACTTCTCTCATTTGATCTGAACTGTGTAGATAAAATTTATAGTCAATTGTTTGACCACATTTGATTAATTATTTCATAATGAAATATAATTGAGACCAAATAACCAGTATCAATCTTCTTCTTTTTTAAAAAAAATTGGTAGGTATAGGGGGAAAATGGGTTGGGTTTCAGTGACATTTGGCTTTACAAGTTGCACACTTCTTTAACTAATGCCAAATTAAATATGTAACTTGGGGAGCACACCACCTGCATAAAAGTTAGCCCAATATCGCTGCACAGGACTGCTCTTAAGATATTGGTGTTGTATAGAACAATGGTTTTGAAACTTTCTTTTCCTCACAACCCAGTTGAAGAAAATTGTTGATGCTTGTGACCTCAACATAATTTGACTAATGTGTGGGCTGGCTCTGGAATGGGGCTGAGGGTGAGAGCTTTGGGGTGTAAGAGGGAGCTCTGCTTTGGAGATGGTCATGGCTGGGATAAGAGATGCTTACTTTGAGCGGCTCAGCAGGGGTGCAGAGGCTCATCAGAGGCTTTCTACCCCTCCTGGCACTGTAGAGCATCCTCTACTCCAGAAGCAGCCAGCAGCAGCTAGTGTTCAGGACAAGCGCAGCACATGGACCCCTGTGAACTCTCCTCCCTGCCTCCCGTTTAGGAGCCTGGCCTGCTGCTGGCCACTTCTGGGGTGCAGCACCGTCTGCAGTGCCAGGACACGCAGGTATCCTGCCTTAGCCTCACTGGTCACCTGATCACCCTGCAGAAACAAGACTCCTTGCCTGACATTCCATGACCCAGTACTGGGTTGCGACCAGTGTTCCCTCTAAACTGTACAGCAGGCAACACAGCTTCACAGGTGATTAATCAGCCCAGTCAATCACCTGTGAAGCTGTGCTGCCTAGCTTAGAGGGAACACTGGTTGCAACCTGTAGTTTGAAAACCACTGGTATTCAAACAGTTTGCTAACTTGTTTAGTTCCTTCATTATCTTTGTTTTTGATGCTAGCATTTCAGGCACTGGACTGTAAAGGTACTTTCCTAACATTTACAAAGACACAAAATGAATATATCTTTATTTTTTTCTCAGTTTCCTGCTTACTTCAGCAAATGCAAGTTATGAGATAATTGGCATAAGCAAACAAAACTATGGCAGACTATATTTACTACTTATAGTAATAGTGCCTAGTGTTTAATGCCAGTAATATGCACCATATTATATAATAGCCAGAATATTTTAGTCAACTGCTAGGTTGTCTGCTTTTTAATATTTTTAGTACAGAGGCAGTGTAGATAGTTCTGTAATCGGTCTGTGATTTCTATTGTCTTTCAAAGAAAACTAGTATCTGAGTCTGTCTAATGAAACTGGATTAATGTGTTTGCACAGCTAAGTCCATAGCTACTGACCTGAAGGAGTGTGCCTAGCTGATCTTTCACCAACAGAAGTTGTCCACTAAAGATATTACCCCACTCATGCTGTCTAATAGCTATATATGTCAATGTGTATTTTGACTGTATAAAACTGATATCTTTCACTTAACTGGAATGTGGGTTTTTTGACTGACCGTTGTCTCTTGATATAGGACTTGGTTATTACTGTCATGGCTGCCTTTCTGTGGCTGGTCAGCACTTCAGCCTGGGCTAAGGCACTTACTGATATAAAAATATCCACTGGTCCCAGCATTGTTCGGGAAATTGCATTTTGCAAATTACCAGGATCATCTTGTTTGTTTGCCTCTGTTACCAGCATGGGAACTCTGAATGTGTCTGTGGTATGTATTTCAAGCCCATTTTTTGGCTTTACTGAAATTCCGTCATTAGTTACCAGTCATGCATGATACCCATCCTAAGTCAAAAGCACTCAGACGGGTTAAGGTTTCCTGGGGCCAGTGCAAGTGGGGAGGCCCTCCCCAACCCATTCCAATCATGGTCCTGCCCCTGTTCCTCACCTTCCACATGTTACCTCACCCATGGCTCCTGCCCTTTCCTGAGGATCCATCCCTGTTGAACCCACAGGCCCCCCTCCCCACTGCACGCCCAAGAGTGGAGAAGCTCTGTCCCACTGCAATAAGGAGTGAGCACTCTCCCAGCCCTGAGGTCTCAGGAGACAGCAAAATAACTCCTCTAGTCCTGGATTCCTGCAATGGTGCTCCCCCTGCAGCCCTCTAGCTTTTTCCAGTGGCAGAGGCTAGGTCAGGGGGACTCTGGGAGCCCCTGCCTTCATGCCCTCTGAAGCCACCCAGTGCTGCTGACCAGAAGCCCAGCTCGGGAAGGGGCTTTTCCCTCCCCACGCAGAGCTCTGGGAGCCCCATTTGGCCAGAGCCCCTAGGAACAGACTTGTAGGCCCAGTGGCTAGTCCACCACTGAAAACACTAACCAAATAACAGTTGTTTCCTCTTTAAAATTGTTTTTGGCACACCTGTGTGATTTTTTTTTTTTTTTTTAACTTTGAGATGGCTTTCAAAGTCCTAGGGAGTAGTGAGTTGGGGTTTTTTGGGGAGGAGCAGGGGGGACTGGTTGGTTTGTTTGAGGTGGGTGGGGTGGTGTAGCACTTAAGCTTTCACATTACTTCTCTCCATCAAAGCCCCAGAATGGATTTGTCCAATGACTCCATTTTAAAGTTCATGTTTGGTGTCTCCAGCAGGTGTAAACTAGATACTGCCTGACTTCTGAATATCTTGGTGCTGAATTTGGCCTTTGTAGTCACTGTTGCATATTTCTCCACATAGCCCAAAACACATTTTTCCACATAGCCCAAAACAAAGGGACCACAAGAAAGCTCTTTTAGGGGTATTCTTGTGATGGATAACAAGCTTTCCCCCTGCTCCACCCCCTTTGCTATCTCATAAGCAGTGTGGCCAAGAGTACATTGTATTCAGGGCCATCCTTAGGATTTATGGGGCTATAGGTTGCATATTTCTCCACATAGCCCAAAACACATTTTTCCACATAGCCCAAAACAAAGGGACCACAAGAAAGCTCTTTTAGGGGTATTCTTGTGATGGATAACAAGCTTTCCCCCTGCTCCACCCCCTTTGCTATCTCATAAGCAGTGTGGCCAAGAGTACATTGTATTCAGGGCCATCCTTAGGATTTATGGGGCTATAGGTAGCACTATTAAAATGGTGTGGGTTTTTTAGATTTTGTTTGTTTGTTTTTACAGTCTTCATCAACATACTAACAATTTTTAAAACAATTTTTAAACTAAGGCCCTGTAGACTAACGCAGTAAATTTAGAATCTGATGGGGAAAGCAGTGGTTGGCAAATGCCTGTTGAATGGTGCTCTCAGGTTCTGAGTTGTGCTTATGGGGTTTTCACTTTTAAATTAACTAGATCCCCTCCGGAGGAAGCAGAACCACAGACCAGAGGTAGTAAGAGCAGGTGGGTGGACATTCAGGCTATGTCTACACTGCAGAATTTTTGCATA